ACTGTTTATAGTTTGACATGTGAGTCCACAGATCAGGAAGTGGAATTCCTAAGATACTGCATCTTTTCAGCCAAAGGTAGCAAAGAAATGAGGTTGAACAGTCCATTAGTGCTATTGCTTTTTTCCATTGCTACTTGCCTGTGTTGAATACCAATCTTTTAAATACTAGGACATTCTGTAAGTCTCCACTTCTGCCTTCTGCAAACGCATGTTTTCAGGAGAATCAGTCTTTTTCAAAAGTACGCAGAAGAACATTGCATCTTCCTAACCAAAGACAGAGAAAAAAGGAGGATGAACAGTCCATTAGTGATATCACTTTTCCCCCCGCAAAATATAAACATATATACCTGCATGTATACACAGACATATTTATACAAACATAAAGCTTCCTGTACAGTTGAAATAAATTATTACAAACACATTCGGCTAAAGTGAATGATGATCTGACTATTTCCTTTTCCTGTTATGAAACTGGACTCCTGGGAGACTGATTAATTCAAGCTCAGATAATTTCAGTTTATACAAAATCATTAACACATGTAATGTACATTGTTCTTTTGGTTATCAAAGCTGAAAGAAAAAAAATCATTGGAAACAACATTGGAAGGAATCAACCAATGACATTGTTTGTTGTTTTATACTGTTACTTTATTCAAAAGATGGGAAAGATGATATCATTACAAAAATAGAAAATAAACCAAATATATATAGTTATACAAACTGGGACATTTGGATATTCAGAAGGTGTTATATGTGATAAATAATGGTTTTACTGACTTAAATATTCTGATAGATTATAGAAAAGTTATTTTGAAGTCTAAAATAGTTTTTGAATAGTTCAATAATTCTGGAATATAAAATTAATACTATTTTAAAGTATAAGATTTTTTTAGAAGTATTTGACTTTATGATACATCTCTAAATTCTACGCTTCAGTAGAAACAAGTTGATTGCAATTAGGTAAAAATTTATTATTTCATTTTGTTGTAAGTTTAGAGGTATTTCCATTTTAGGTAAAAATTCAAGTCATTCTCAGAGTTACTACATAGAAAGAAAAATATAAGTATCCATCTCTGTTCAAAAAAAGTCAATAGGTTATCAAAAGTTTAGCAAAGAGCTTAGTAAGTAATATAAAAAAGGTAAAGATTGTTGGGTGATATTTTCTTTTTAAATGTAGGGGTCATTTTTAGATTTTTTTTATTCATGTAAAATTTACATAGAGTGAACTGTATTGTTATTAATTATGCAATTCAAAGAATTTGGACAAATGTGTGCCCTCATCTAATCAATATCCCAATCAAGAAATAGCACATCTTGTTTACCCAAAGTGTTCATTCATGCCCAGCCCTCAAAGGTCTAGTCATTTCTGGTTTCTGTCACCATAGACTAGTTCTGCTTGTTTTAGTTCATATGAAATAGTGTATACAATATATACTATTATGTTTTCAAAATTTTTTAATCAGTATAATGCTTTGATTTGAGAATATTTTGGGGAAATGTTTTTGATGATAGAAATCATAAATGTATTATTTCATTATTAATTATATTTTACTATATAAATATACTTCAGTTTGTTTATCACTTGTATATATGAACCTTTGGGTTATGTCTGGGTGTTGGCAATTGCTGATGGAGTTCCATGAACATTTGCAGGCAGTCTTTTGGGATGTATTTTATCAATTCAATAAAAACCTAGGACTGTGGGAAAAGCCTAAATGCCCATCATCCCATGAATGGATAAACAAATTGTGGTATATGTATATTATGGAATACTGTGCAGCCATGAAAAGAGGGAGACTTTGCATCTTTTATGCTTGCCTGGATGGAATTGGACTATACTCTTCTTAGTAAAGTATCTCAAGAATGGAAAATAAAAAGTATCCAATGTATTCAATACTATTATGAAACCAATATAGATGGTTTGCATATTCATGCAAATGATAAAACACAAAGGTAGTCCAGAAAGAAAGAGAGGAGAGGAGGGAGAGGGGAGACAGAGGAGTAGAGAGGGTGAGCATAGGGAGAGTATTTGAGGGGATCTCAGCTAATGTGCACAATACAAGGGTACATTTCAGAACAACTAAGAGTATATGATAAATGTCTTACCATAAAACATAAGTGAGTTGATGGTTATGTTAATTATTTGATTTAAGCATTCCACATTGTATATAAATCATCACATCGTACCCCATAAATGTATACAATTACGATTTAATAACAATTAAGTTAAAAAATAAAAACCTAGGAGTGGAGTTACTGGATCATACACTAAGACTGTATTTAACTTTATAAGAAACTACCAAAGAGTTTTCCAGAGTTGTATATTAATTTATATTCCTTTTGGAATTATATGGGCTCCTAATTTGTTCAGATTAAAATTTTTAATTAGTCTTTAAAATTACAGTCATTCTAGAGGGCGGCAGAAAGGTAGATCATTATCATTTTAATTTGCATTTTCTAGCAAATAAAAGTGTTGACCATTATTTATCTCTATTTGACATGCATGCATCTCCTTTGGGAAATTGTATGTAGCTCATTTTTCTTTTTTATTATTTTAGGATATTATAGGGGTACACAAATAATTTGCCTTTCTACATTTGAAGTCAATGTTGTAAGTGTGCCATTCACTCAGAATGTGTGCATTGTGTACATTGTACCAGTTAGGTGCGAATTTTACAGCTTCCCTGCTTCACTTGATTCCTGTTGAGTTTTATTACTATGTGACTTGATAAGTGTTTATCACCTAATTCTAATTTAGTATTGAGTACATGTGGTGCTTGTTTTTCCATTATTGTGATGCTTCATTTAGAGCAATGGTCTCCAGTTTCCTCTAGGTTGTTACAAAAGATGCTAGGTCACCATTTTTTATGGCTGAGTGGTCCTCCATGAAACAGCACATTTTATTAATCCCTTCACATGATGATGGGCACTTGGGTAGTTTCTACATTTTTGAAATTGTGATTTGTGCTGCTATAAACATTCAACTGAAAGTTGAAATGTCTTTTTTTTTTTTTTTTTTTTT